AATATTTGCATATAATCCAGAACAGTCTCTCATATTCTTTAAATCATCAAGCCAGGTATGATACTACACAGCACTGAGGAAAGAGTTCAAGCCTAGCCAAGGGTGCTTGTCTCAAATCAATCAATCAATCAATCAATCAATCAATCAATCAATCAGTTATCTCTAGATCACTATAACACCTACTGCAATGTAAATGCAGTATAAGACAGTGTTACACTACATTGCTTGAGGAACAATGACCACACCCTGAAGAGTGTGCACATGCTCAGAACTGACCATTCTTGTTATGTTCTCAGTCCACAGCTGGTGAACTAGCCCACAGATGTCGAGCCCATCAGAATGGCAATCTCACTATGTGTGGCATTTCACTTGGTCCTTATAGATAACCGGAGTGGGAGATTCTAGCCTCATCATTTTATAGACGGGCAACTGAGGCTGACAGAGAGAATTTAGGAGCGTGCCCAGGATTACACAGGATTAGCAGTAAACCACCTGTATCACCCCAGGCTACACTGTCACTGTATTTGCTTGGGACAGGTCCTGAGGTGACAGGCCTGAGACTGCACCAGAAGGGACTCAAGCCAACCAGGATGTGTGACAAGCCCAAAGCTTGCTAAGAAAGAAAAGGGAGAGCTCCAGACAGCTTCCAGACTAGGGATTAACTCCCTGCCCACGATGCTTAATTAGGAGTCTGATCACAGCAAGAAGCTTGTCCTGGTCGGGCCTTACCTATGATGAAGTTCTGTGCATACAGGGCCCTTGAGAGTACAGCTACAGAGCGAGACCTCTACTATCATCTCCAAGTCAGTGAGACAAAATCCAATGTGCCTAGAAAAGCCCTTACTTCTACTTCAGACGAAGCTGGATGAAAGACCCCCTTATTCCAGGCATCTATCACTTGACAACCATCAATGCGAACTGCAGTCAGCTGTATGACTTCAGCTTTGCACAGTCCTGGGGAGGGGCTCAAGCCTCTGCCTGACTTCAGTGAAGTCTTCCAGGGGAGTCGCTAATTTAACAGCCACCAAACAGTTATTGTGCATTTGTTACACACCAAGCACCAGGCAGTGGGACCCAGAGATGACAAGCCCACTGATTCTTTAATGTCAGGTGTCAGAGGACCAAGTCCAGAGCCAAGATCCATTAAGTAGGAGGCTCTGTCTGAGTGCAGGGGTGCCTATTCTTCCTGTGAGAGACATCCAACTAAGGACAGAAAGGATGATACTGGTAGCCAGGACAATCGTTGAGAGTGAAGTGCTGCTGTGGAGGAAGGGGCATGGTGGAAGCCTGAGAAGGACCTAGTCACAAACATTCCTAATGGCAAGAGGCTACTGTGCTCTGGTAGCACACAATCCTGGTGCACTTGCATCAGACAGGCATGGATAGCAACAAGAGCACAGGGCTGACCCAGGGGACAAGGCAGGGCAAAGAAACCTGGCCTGGTGCCCTATCAGCCCACCCCCTACCATGCAAAGCTTATGGGCCAGTGTGACAGGACACAGCAGCTGGAGGGTGGCAGAAGGCACAGAGCGGTGCTTTCTTCTTGGGCCTCCCTTTTCCTTCTGGGTACCACTGTGTGTAGGATGCACAGCTCATCCTCACCAGCCATTACAACCCAACATGCCTTCTAGGAGCTGTCTTGCCAAGCCATTGCCCCCTCTAATATAAAGTTATCAAATTCTTAATGTGGGCACTCTAAAGGCAATGTACTGTCACCAGCATGCCACCGGGCACATTTTTCAGCAGGAAAACAGCTGCTCACTGAATCTGTCACTTCTTCCTCTTCTCAGAACCCTGCACATGAACAAGAGCTGGCTCAGGGCTGTTTTCCTGCACCTTCTCTCCATGCATGCTCAAAGCAGTGTCAAGTCTCTCAGCAGAAGCCAGCAGATTGGCCATAGCAGTGTGAGGAGGTGGCTGGCTTATGAAGCAGCTTTGACAAGTAGGACCTAGCCCTCAGAAGCTAAAGGCACAGCCATCACAGCTTTTAGTTCACTAGTCTCACTCCTGTATCTTTTAGGCTAGGGATCCCAGTGGGGTAGGGGCGGGAAGAGATGGTTCAGTTGGTGAAATGCTTGCCTTGCAAGCATGAGGACCTGAGTTTGATCCCCAGAACCCATGTAAGAATTTAGTCAGGCTATGATTAAAAACACTGATGACAGTTTATGTTGGAGAGGATGCGGAGCAAGGGGACACTCCTCCACTGTTGGTGGGAGTGCAAACTTGTACAGCCACTTTGGAAATCAGTATGGTGGTTTCTTAGAAAAGTGGTAATCAATCTACCTCAAGACCCAGCTATACCACTCTTGGGCATATACCCAAGGAATGCTCAATCATACCACAAGGACACATGCTCAACTATGTTCATAGCAGCATTATTCGTAATAGCCAGAACGTGGAAACAATCTAGATGCCCCTCAACTGAAGAATGGATAAAGAAAATGTGGTACATATACACAATGGAGTACTACTCAGCAGAGAAAAACAATATCATGAAATTTGCAGGCAAATGGATGGAACTAAAAAACATCATCCTGAGTGAGGTAACCCAGACTCAGAAGGACAAACACGGTATGTACTAACTCATAAGTGGATACTAGATGTAAAGCAAAGGATAACCAGACTGCAACCTACAGCTCTAGGGAAATTAGCTAGCAAGGAGGACTCTAGGAGGGATGCATGGATCTCCCATCAAAGGAGAAATAGATGAGATCTTACATGAGCAAACTGGGGTTCGGGGTGGGGTAATGGAGGGCAAGGGATAGGGAATGAGAACATAGGGAAACGGAGTTTAGAGCTGGAACAGGGAACAGAGTGGTAGAGCAAGGAAAGCGATACCATGATAAATGAAGACATCATGAGAACAGGGAGAAGCAGAGTGCTAGGGAGGTTCCCAGGAATCCACAAGGATGACCCCACCTTAGACTACTGGCAATAGTCGAGAGGGTGCCTGAACAGGCCTACTCTGGTGATCAGATGGGTGAATACCCTGTCATCATAGAGCCTTCATCCAGTGACTGATGTAAGCAGATGCAAAGATCCATGGCGGGGGGCCAGGCCAAGCTTCAGGAGTCCAATTGATGAGAGAGAGGAGGGATTCTATGAGCAAGGGACATAGAGATCATGATGGGAAAACATACAGAGAAGGCCAGCCAAACTAGTGGAAACACATGAACTGTGGACCAATAGCTGTGGAGCTTCCATGGTATTGGACTAGGTCCTCTGGATAGGTGAGACAGTTGTTTAGCTTGACCTGTTTAGGGGACCCCAGGCAGTGGGATCGGAATCCGTCCCTGATGCATGAGCCGGCTTTTTGGAGCCCAGTGCCTATGGTTCGACACCTTGCACAGCCTTGGTGCAGCGGGAGGGGCTTGGACCTGCCTCAACTGAATGTACCAGGCTCTGCTGACTCCCCATGGGAGACCTTGCCTCAGAGGAGGTAGGAATGGGAGGTGTGTTGGGGGGGAAGGCTGGGAGGCAGGAGGAGGGAGAAGAGGGGGATCTATGGTTGGTATGTAAAATGAATAGAAAATTTAAACAATCAAACAAACAAACAAACAAACAAATAAATAAAAGAATTTAGTCAGGGTGGTACTTGTACTGGAGCAACAGCGATAGGATCTTTGGAGCCTGCTGGCCACAGTGGCTTAGCCAAACAAGTGAGCCCCAGGTCAAAAAACAAGGTGGACAGCTGCTGAGGAACAACATGTGAAGTTGTTCTCTGGCCTCTACATGCATGCACACACATGCGCACACAGCTGCACACACATATATGTACATAAACACACAAAAACTCACACCCTGGTCCCTGTGTGAGCTGATTTTCTCGTAGGAATGAACAAGGACACTACCATCTTCTCCACGGTTGTGAGGACTAAACGAAAATGCAAACACAGAGCAACCAGAACCGGCAGGGGACGGAACAGTGACTGCTACAGAACTCTGGATTTCCAGGGCCCCTCGTCTCTTCTCCCAGGGCCTCCTTCAGCTGAGTCCCACCAGGGATAGGAAAAGGGCTGGCAGCAGGGTTAACTCGTTTACAGCTAGCTTGGTCAATATCTGACCAGAATCAGATGAGCTTCAGACTTGTTCTCAGTCTCCGAGTGCTGCCTCTTGGCTTTCTACTGCCTCTGGGGAGTTGATCTCATCACTGGGGTGATCTCTGAAGACAGCTCACTTTGAGACGCAGGAGGGTGAGGGACACAACAGATATGCAGGTGCCTAGGCCAACTCTACCAATCACTGAGGAAAAGTCACCCAAACCATGGGACCTACGTTCCTCTTGACAAGACCCAGTGAGTTCTCCTAGCAGCCCAGGCCTCCCTCCTCTTTCTTACACACACTGTCTCCTGTCTCTCCGCACCCTCCTGCACTTTAAAATAGCTATCCAACCATGTAAATTCTCGGGAGCAAGTGTCTGCTGGCCTCCAGCGGAGCTGTCAATGCCCATAAATCGCTGGCCTTCCAGATTGCACTGCAGCTATTTACTGGGGGAGGGGCGCAGCAGGCCACCAGACAATACCAGGAAGACGCTGGCCTGGCGGTAACTACTCTGGTTACAGCCTCACAATTCACAGCGGCATTCTGCTCGGAGTAGGCTCCATCAAGGAGGAGAAACATAAAAAGGGGAACCTGGGCTGTAAATAGTTTATTCCAGCAATTCCTGATGTTGGCTGAATCATACTTTAATACAGAAATACATGAAAGCACCACTCCGGAGGTGACATGTGTTGCCACCTCATTACTCTTTTCAAAAGGGTCTTCCATCAGAGAGACACCTCACCACAAATTACAGCCAAGAACACAAAACCTCTCACACACACACAGGCCAGAGGGAGTGGACCCTCCAGGACTCAGACAAACACAGACAGGCCCACCAAGGCCCAAGGTCACCCTTGGGCTCTGGGCTGCTTGGCCATGAAGGCAACAGGAGACAGAGAAACAGACAAGTACTCTTGCTCAGTGTGACTCACCCACCTCTCCCAGCAGCCCTTGCCTACCTTCATGTTCCTTCTCTGTGGTTCCCACTTTCTTAATCTTCCGGGGAGACTTCATAAAGAGTGGAAAGATGGTCCGTAAGCCGAGTATGTCCACAAACTTGTGGCAGTTGTCTGTGCCCTCAGGCCCAATCATGGCATGGTCCAGTACCTTCAGGGCACTGCTCCGGGAGATCTTCTTCTCCCTATAAGCAAAAGGCATTTCAGAAGAAGCACTAGTTTTTTAATGTGTACTCATTCTACTGGGAAAAAAGACAAACATCCCCCAATAAAAACACAGCAGTTAATATGCCCCATAGGAAGAAAACGTTTACATTATGATATGTCTAAGCAGTTATCACACATATAATAGGGGAATATGGAATAGGAAGAATAAATTCTCTCTCTCTCTCTCTCTCTCTCTCTCTCTCTCTCTCTCTCTCTCTCTCTCTCTCTCTCTGAGGTAGGGTCTTTCTATGCAGCGCTGGTTGTCCTGGAACTCTCTACATAGACTAGGCTGGGCTTGAACTCACAGAGATCTGCCTGCCTCTGCCTCCCAAGTGCTGGGATTAAAGGTATGCGCCACTATGCCCGCTAAAGAATAAAATCTTCTGGTTCCACAGGATAATAATGTTCAAATTTCAACATGAAGTCTTATGACAATTCTGTGGGAAATGCATCAGAAGACTAGAGAAGCAGATCAAACTGAGGGGCTTCAGAAGGTTTAACATTTCTTTCTTCCTTAACAGCTTTACTAGATATAATCCACATCATTTAATTTGCACACTTAAAGTGTACAACGCAATGGTATTAGTGTGCTCACATACATGTAACCATCCCACAACAAACTGCAGAGCATTTCCACTACCCTGCAAGAAAACCACCTACCCTTTGACTGTTTCCTGTCTCCATTCCCTGGCTCCTGAGCTCCAAACAGCCACAGATCTATGTTGTCTCTATAGATTTGCCTACTCTAGACATTTTAAGCAAATGCTATTACATGTGGTCTCCATAGTGGACACATCATTTCACATACCCATGGGCAGTGACACCTTAAAAACTGTTGAATTTTGGGTTCTAGTTATCCTAGTTGGTATACAATGCCATCTCAGTGTGTGTCTGTTGGGGGCACACATGCCACGGTATGTGTGGGAGTCAGTCCTCCGCTTCCATTCCATGGGTTCTAGAGATCAGACTCAGGTCGTGAAGCTTGGCAGAAAGCACCTGTTCCCACTGCAGCCCGTCTTTGTGGTTCTGATTTACATTTCTGATACTAACAGAGTATGCTTAGTGTGCCTGGACACTTGTAGGTTGTCTTTAGGAAACGCCCTCTTAGACGCTTTGCTCATTTTGTTGTTGTTGTTTATCCATTTGTTCTTTTTTTTTTTTTTTTTTTTTTTTTTTGACAGAGAGAGGGTCCCACTGTGTCACTCTGGCTATCCTGGAACTCACTATGTAGACCGGGCTTGCCTTAAACTCACAGAGATCCACCTGCCTCTGCCTCCTCTCTGGGATTAAAGGCGTGTGCCACCAAGCCTGGCATGCTTTGCTCATTTTAAACAGGGTAAGCACTCCTCATTATTCTGGTCTAAGAGTTCTTAAGAACTTAGGACTTCTGAAGTCCCTCAACAGATCCATGATCAAATCATTTCCTCTTATTCTATCAATTATTCTCCTTACTTTCTTGATGTTTTGGTTGTGAACCATAGCCTTTAATAGCTGAGCTATCTCTTGGGCCCTCTCCCTTCTTTCTTAATGGCATCATTTGAAGAATAAAACCTTCAAATTTTCATAGAGTTCAATGTATTTAATATTGTCTTTTGCTATCATATGTGAGGAACCACTACCACATCCAATGTCATAAATGTTTACCCTGCATTTTCTTCTTAGAGTTCTTACAGTTAGGCCTCTGATCTTTTTGCATTAATTTTGAATGTGAGGTGAGGGCTCAGCTTCCTTCTTTCACATAAAAATGCACAATTGTCCCAGTGCCATCTGCATGGGAGTTTAAAGCTGGTGCTCTGCAGTCCACTGGCCTCAAACTCCTGATATTCCTGCCTCCGCTTCTCAAGGACTAAGATTATAGGCACACACCACCACAGTGAGTTGACTTTCAATTTGTGCTTCTTGCAGGGAGCAGTGTGACTCATTCCTTTAATGCCACCACTTAGGATGCAGAGGCAGGCAGATCTCTATTAGGTCAAAGCCAGCCTTGTCTACACAGTGAGCTCCAAGCTAGCTACAGTGACATAGGAAGATCCTCGTGTCAAGAAATCTCCGATAAAATAAAACAATGTATTTCTTCTGTTAAATTTATTTAGATATTTTATTCTTACTATTGTTATAAATGGATTCCTTAGCTTTATTTTTGACTGTTCATTACAAGAAATACAATTAATTTTTCTACACTGATCTTATAAGAAACTTCTTTATTAGTTCTAATAGCTGTAATAATAGAATCCATAGAGTAAGATCATGTTATTTGCAATAACTCTTCCTTTTCCTGTCTAGTTTGGATGTCTTTTATTTTATAGCATTGCCTAACTGTCCAATGCCTAAGAAGACACTTTACCTGCTGCTGACCTTGGCAGGACCATGAGGCATGGTGTTAGCTGTGGGTAGTCTGCAGGGACCTGCTAGCTGATTTACTGTTTCAGAGCTTTTCCTCTGTGGCCACTTGGATCCACAGAAAACAGTACCTAACAATGGGATTGTGTGGCAGTGGGGCTGCTCACACCACGGTGGTCAGAAAGCAGGTGAGGATGGTGCCGGAAGTCCCTCTGTGTTCTTCAAGCACAGACCCTCAGTGACCTTCCTCCTTCCTATAGACCCTCCCTCATCATGGCTCTACCCTCTCCCAGCAGTGCTGCAGGCTAGCCACCAGACCCTTCAGTCTATCTATCGGTATACGGGCCTCTGGAGAGCTTTCAGATCTAAAAGTAACAGAGAACACTTTCCTACAATCGTACATGGTTTTCTTTAACACTCTAAGAGGCAGAGGGAAGCAAATCACTTGTTTTCTAACTGGGTACAGATGGCCAATCAACCACACAAACACACAGTGTTTACTGAGCACTTACTCAGCACTGTAGTAGACACAAAGACATGGCTTTTGCTCCAAAAAGTGGCATCCACTTGGGGAGACCAAACTAATGTGAAGTAACCAGGAAAGTGTCCTTGTGTTAGGTCCTCTACAATACCGCTGGACACCTTTCCTATCAAAGATGAAAGATGTCACTGTGCCCCGCAGCTTACATTGTAATTGTAGAAAGCCGGGGAACACGAAGGTGTTCTGAGAAAAGCAACAAGAAAAACCAGGGTGCGCAACCAATATTCCCACCTCTCTTCTCCTCACCACAGACGATCCAACAATCTGCAGCTACTGAGTTTGAAGACAGAAAGAAGGCCACCGCGAACTCAGGCCTGTTCAGACACTGCTTTTGGAAACTGGAGGTTTCCTGCTTTTAACAAATTTGAGGAAAGGATAGTAATGGGGATTATGTTCAAGATGGCAAGAGGAAGGAAACAGCAGCTCATCTGCGAGAAGCCGGTGAAGGCATCAAATGGCGGGGTGCCTGTCAGCAGAGGGGTGAGCGGAGGCACTGGTGTCAGAGCTGGGGAACACAGGTGGGGATGAAGATGACAGTATGCACAAATGTAGTCACACCAGGCCCCTGCTGTGCTGCCAGGGAAGCCCAGCTCCATCCACAGAGAGAGGAAGGGGCAGACCTTGTTGGCAGGGAGGGCAGACAATTCAGAGACTATGGCAATAGTGTAAATGACAAACAAAAAGATTACTGACTTCGGCAGGGGGGTGAAAAGGCCTATTGAAGAGAAATATGAAATTTTAAACATCAGGAGGAGGCAAACAAGGTTTGAAATCCACTGGGAAGGACTTTCTGTCTCAGGATGAAATCCTAGCAGGAGGCTACACAAATAACACACTTGTTCTCGCTGCGGTTAGACTTGTGCACCCTGCTTTACAAGCTGGAATTTGCAGAGGTTATGGCTAGGGCAGATAATCATGCAGGCAGAGATTAGGAAACTGGGCTACCAATGCTCATTGTTTAGCCACTCAGGAAAAGGCATCCTGAAGTGAAGGACGGTTGCAGACCAGGGCACCTTCAGCTTCTGTTGAGCATACATTGAAAGCATTTCACAAATGACACAGGACTGCCTGAGATACTAAAGGCTTTTTCCCTGCCTAAGCAAATTTATGAAACAAAAGACTTTAAAAGCAAAAGCCCTTCTTTGGGTAGGCAGTGCAGGACATGTTTAAAGGGGGCAGTAATTGCGTATTGATCACCATTTAGGCAAGCTGCATGGAGGTGAACTTTGGAATATTCATTGGGCTCAAGTTCAGGCTTTTAGCAATCAATAGCTGTTTGGCCTGACTTTCTTGGGTTGACTTTATTTGAAATATTTATTCTACTGGAGGACAAGTAGTTTATCTTAGTCTTGTCTGGGTTCATCGGGTTGTCGATCATGCCAGGACCAATGTGAACACCAGCGTCCACCACCTGGGTGCCTATGGTCAGTGGCTGGGTCGTCTGCTGCCTATCTGCTCATGTGTGCCTCAGACGCTGAAGCAGTGTCTCCTGGTGTAGTTTTAATTAGCTTGTTCTTTATCACACCCAAACACTTCTGGAGTGAACACGGATTCCGAGTATAATTTTCTTTGCTCTTTTTTTTTCTTTACTCAAATATTTATGAAACACCTAACAGGTGCCAGACATCTAGTCAAGAATGCAGAGACAAAGCTCAGCTCGTGGCTTCTGAGGAGGTTGGTCCATGTGGAACAGAAACAAGCAGATGAGGGATGAGGGCAGCCTGAGGAAGGCTGGGTCCTGCAGCAGAGGTGTAGACAAAGGACTGGGAGTGCAGCGAGGAGGTCCGCCCAGGGAGCAGATGCTGGAACTGTGTTTCCCGACAGGTAAAGAGGCAGCAGGAGGAAACAAAGCACATTCAGGGGCTAGAGCAGGTGCACACCAGGGGAAGGGTGAGGGGGCTGCATCACAGCAGAAGCCAGCTGCCTGGGTGCCTTAGGAGGCAGGATTGCTCAGCCACAGAGAGATGGTGGGTGGGGCAGGAGAAAAGAGCAAACAATAGCAGAGGCAGGGGGCAGGGAGTGGTGGCCTGAATATGAATTGTCCCCACAGACTCAGATACTTGAATGCTTAGTCACCAGGGAGTGGTGGCTTGAATA